CTGAATGCTTGTGGTGTTAAGCAGATGGTCAAAGGCCAGAGGTGGTCATTCACCTGCTCCTCCTCCTGAGTGATGGCTACTGGGCCACTGTGGCTGGCTAATCAGAAATGGAATTTAGGGAATTCGGTTATTTTAAGTGAGAGCTAATGCAGTGGGTGCTGTGGGCCAGGCAAGAGAACTGCCTGCAGGGAGAGTCCCCAGTGCAGGCACCCTGTGCCATGGGGTGGAGTGACAGAGAAGTAAATCCTGTCCCATTTGTCCTTCAGACCCCAGAGCAAGGCTGGGCTCACCCCAAGGATACCCAGTGGCAGGATGAGGATGTCACACCCGGCAAGGGCCTGGGGGTCTCAGCAGCATGAGGCTTGGCTGGAGGGCATGGGGACAAGACACGTGTTTTTGGTGATGAAAACAAGCTTTTGAACTTGTTGGCAGAGCAGTGCTCCACTCAGCACATGGGTTTGCTTGCTCTCTAGGAGAGGGAATATGAACTTGCTTCAGACTATGTGTGCCTGTAGGCAGTAGTAGCTGGGTCTCGTTTGCTGGCAGCTCTAAACCCCAATGATGTGAGACAAGAGGTTTAGTGTGGAATTAATAGAATAGAGGTCTTAGGATTTTGTTTTTTACTACCAAACAAGAAAAAAATTTGCAGCTCTGTAACATTTAAAATCTCAATGAAATTTAAGATTAAATATTTTAAAATATGCTGGACCAGCATTTAAAAATATCAGTGATACCTTAGGAGTGTGGCAAGCAAAACTTCCAACTGTGTCTGAAAGGCAGCTGTTGCTTGTGTGTGTGTATATATCTACCCAATTATTTCTACTATGAGTAGAAAGAGTATTTAAAAAATTGCTAATCTGGAAGAACTAATCAGCTTTCTTGTCTTTAACTGTGGGTGAGTTAAGTCAGGGTGCCTTTGTATGACCCCCTCCTTTTGGGTACTTTTCTTCCTCGAGCCTTTTCTAATGCTCCACTCTGGAAGATTTACAGGAACAGGCTTTTTAAATACACAGGTTTTGTGTTTATAGGAGGTAAAAACAATTCAAGCTTGGTGATCCTTGAGAGTTTGTGTTCTCCTGATCACCCTGGTGCTGTAGTGCACATGATCCCACTGGAACTTCTTGAGCACACCAGTGGCACACAGTGTCTCCTGGAGAGGCCTCAGAAGTGCCTCTTGCACTCCCTTGGGTGCTGAAGGAACCCCCAAAGCACCTAGGATGAAAGCACTGTCCTGAGCATGGGGACAGGCACTGCAGCAATGCCCCAGTGCAGCATCCCACAGGATTTGTGCCTTTGTGTGTGGTTGGTGCCTTGTGTCCCCTCCTGCAGCAGTCCCCATTTCTGCTCAGGTGATGTGTTCCCTTGTGGGGCTCAGCTGGATTGGCTCCATCCCATCTCCTGGGTTTAGGAAGTCAGGTATTTTTAGAAGAGAGATAATGTATTAGTCTGAGATGTCAGAGCTTTCGTGAAGTTATGCTGGATTTGATCTCCTTTCATTTTGCTCTGTATGCACAATGAATTACTTCTGTGCAGGGAGCTCAGTCTGCAAGATCTCCAAGGCAGGGAGCAAATCTTTACTGTCACCACACTGACCTGGCTTTACCTCATCTCTGTAGCCATGTAAGATGTGCAAGGTAACAGCCTTGCCTGGCTTCTGGTGATGGAGAAAGGCTTCCCTGGAACAGCTCTGGGTGTGCCTCTGCCCTCAGTTATCCTGAGGCTGATCCAAGGATCCGGGCAGCCGCCCCTGCCTGCTGCATCCAGACTCCCCTACCCACCCTTCCCACTGGGAAGGAGCAGCACCAGAGTACTCCTGTGCTCGGCTGCCACAAGTTCAGAGGCACCAGGAAAGCTGAGTAACCCCAGTATGAATTTAAGGATAGCTCACTGCTCCCTTGGATATGTGAGCCATTCTTTCCCAACACAAGCTCTCCCCTCTCAGTGTATTTCAAGCTCAGGTCCGTGTCTAAGGTAAGCTGAAGTGGAACACAAAGTGAATGCACTTGAAGCACCCTCCCCCAGGTGATTTTCCATTTATGCAGCAGGCTCACTAATTGCAGAAAGAGTGATTACCCTTTCAAGAAGGAAATATAAACCTTGATTACTTTGAATGTGTGTTAGTGAAATGTGGTTCTGATCCCAGCTGGGCAGAAACTGTTTCAGGAAAACGTTCTGAAAATGCTCCTAATAGGATCAGCACGGGAAACCTGTCTGGGACTGTTACCCTCTTCCCATTTGAGATACTCTCAAAAGGGGGACTGAACTTTGCATCCCAGATTCCTAGAGCTTTCTTTCATGTTAGTGGTCTGCTTCAGCTCACAGGAGCTCACCAAGCTGCTGAATGGAGAAACAGGTAACTGAGATGTAAAGACAAGGGGCCAGCCCTTAAGTGGAAGTGGGGAGATAATCTGAATCAAAACCAGCCCCAATGCCAGTTGTGTTCTGTCTTAAGAGCATCCAGACCACACAGTGATTTTGGTCTCACTACTTTTTGAAGAAAGGACTGCAGAAAAATTAGGTGACAACCCTAACAAATGCTATAAAGCAGATAGAACCATAGTAAATACTGTTGGTGATAAATAACACTTTCTTAAATGGAAAGTGCAGGTTCTTGTTTTCTGTTTTGTGTTTTTTTAATGGGCTGGTGCATGTTGTAAAGTGTATATATATGTATATAATCAAAATATGTGTATATACATATATAGGTAGATGGAAGGATGATGTTTTTCAGAGCCAAGTCTTTAAACAGACCAAATTAACCACTTCTGCTTTTTACTATGGCATGGCGAGGTGGATTTAAGGATGAATTAAGCAAGCTGTAAATTTAAGAACAAACTCATTCTGTGGCTTGAAATTAATTATTATAACCAACATGGTAACTTAATCTCACAAAAACACGAGTTTATTAATAGGTGAAGGAGCTGAAGAACCACACAGTCCATCCAGCCCTCTGATAGAGTTTCCTAATCTCAGTTACGAAATTCAATGCTGCAGTTTTACAAGGTACATATTCTCAATCAGTGAATGTTACAGAACATAAACATGAAGTGAATATTTGTATTAATGAGATTCAAACAAGTCAACTGAAAGAAGTATCAACTCGAGTTATAACACATGGTGAAAAGAATCAAATTTGGAATGTGATCATATATACTGTTGTACATCAGACAATATGTACACTGTTTCATATTGCATGACATTCATAGCATATTCATAGAAAAGTCAAACTAAATGATGGCTTAAAAACTGTTATTATCACTGAAATTTGCTCACTATGTTTTAAAGTGTTGATATTGACTGAGTTAATATTTTCATTGTGTAAAAATACTGTATATAGTAGAAACCCTTCAGCATCTTCCACATTCAAATAAATGAAAGTTACAGTTTGGTATTTGGTGTTCAACATCTTAAATTAAACGGCCGATTCTTTCTGGCCTTTGGTAGGAAAAACAAATCATGAATATGCTCAATCTGGTTTGACTAGAACGTTTCTCTCTTGAAGACCTTGCTTCTGGAATCAGAGACTAAACCTCTACCTCGGCTGAGGTGCGGCTGGGAATACTAAAACATCTGAACACACTTAAAAAGGTGGAAAGTCCATAGCCATTCTACACACTTTCATTTATTGTCTGGACAATTAAAGTACAAATAATTCAAACACAACAAGGTTATGAAAAAAACATTTACAATACTTTCCCTCAGAAATGATCTAAACTAGCAAGGTTAACATGAAGTCATTCATTATAACTAAAGTATACAACTGCCTGGTCCTAAGAAAGATTTTTTAAATTATTATTATTATTCAGATAGTAAAACACATCGTAGAGAAAAGATTCTGACATGCCTTCCCCACTAATGCTTAGCAAATGCATCAAAACTTTCCCAGCAAACTGCGCTCATTCATAGCAGATGATGTATAAAGGTTTCCCTGAACATTGAATGAGTGTTCCTTTAAACTAAAATCTAACATTGTTAAAGTAAAAAACTGATAAAATTATGATGCAGCCTTTGCTTTTAGTTATTTGTCTACTACAAAAGTTTGCCTCTTCAGTGTGAAAAAACAATACTTAGTCTACATGCAGTTAGTGGGTATAGCATGGAAAAAATGCACAAAATAAGCACAAGTTATAAATAACCATAACGTTTTATTACCATTAAGACTAAACTTGTATTGAAAAGATTTTATATAACAAGACAAGAAAAGCAATAGCAAATTTAACTATCAACTAGATTATGCATAGCGAGTAACTGTTTCTAGTACTCAGGGAAGAGCATGACCCTTTTTTGTTTTAAATATATAACCGTACAAAGCACAAACATACTAAAATGATCAGTGCACTGGACATGGGAGAGCACCCCCTCAGTCATTTTGTTCCCTTAGCTCTGTTTTCCCCAATCTGAATTACATTAAAATAAAGACCCAGTTGTTTTCTTTTCTACTGTGCAGTAAGAAAAAATATTCACAACAAACATGACAATATATCAAACAATATTTCTACACAAGTTACCTTGATACCTCTGTCACTTAAGTATCATAAGAAAACATTTTAAGACATATACAAACAAAACTAGCAAAGTGTTACAACTTATAATAAATTAACCAAAAGAAAAAATAACTTTATATATATATATATATTTATATTATATATACACATACACACACAACAAAATGACACAATAATATGCTTCTTCCCATAGTTTAAGTAAACAAATAAGTAGACTAGCCAAACTAGCTATATTTGATTTTGGCCATATGCATCACATCGGCAATTAAATAAATAAGTGTTTCAAGCAACATAAACAGTGTTCCAAATGTGCCAACACAGCCCAATTATATTAGCTTGGGCTATAAAGTGAATTTGAAAATTCTTAACAAATTTAAAGCAAATGTATTTTTTTCTAAACACATTACATTTAACTATGATACTAAGATATGTAAATAATTTTGTAGCACCTACTGCTCAAACCAAGGAAGTTTTTGATCAAAAAATTAATTTTTTTAACTTTTGTTCTGCTGATATCCCATACTGATGACTTAAAGAAAAACCGTCTTGCAACTCATCTCCTTGCTTTTGGGTTTTGACTGTGGGTAACTGCGTGCCTGGGAAGAACACTCTCCCGTACTGTATTTAATATTTTTATTACATGCTATGAAAAGATACGAAGATCATCTGTTTGTAGCCCATCCTTCAAAAAACAATCTACTAATCCAGTTTAAAACACACATCTTGATCTCTAAAAAGTTACCAGTGCAGTATGAACATGACAAAGTTGTCAATTTCCCCTAAATTAGCCAGTCAAAATATTTTTTCTCAAATCCAGATTCTCTTGTAAAAATTCTTTATATTTTATAAAAATAGATTTTTCTTGAAACCCATTTTCAGCAAAGAGACCACCTCTTTGGCAACATTGTTAATGTTATTTAAATTGTTATGTCATCAGGTATCCCCCGTTACCCCATTCCCTAACAGAAGACTGTTTAGTTCACATGATACAAAAGAAAAAAGGAAAAATAAAAAAAGTTGCAAAATTATGTTCTTCTTTTTGCAATTTTTATTGTTCCTCTTTAATTTGTGTGGGGGGTTTACCAATCTGATTCAATCAATGTTTTGAAAAAACAGAAAAGAAAACAAAAATCTTTTTTTTTCTCGCTTTTAATCCCATTAGTTCGTAAAAATTGTTTTTTGTTTTATTATTTTTTCAAATGAGTGAATGGTCATCTTAAAAAGACCCACCTTCAAGGAAGGTAGTAAAACTAGCTGGCCGGGTAAAAATCCCTGCACATTGTTATCTATGTATATTATATTCAACAACGACAGCTATGAAAGAACATTCAATGCATCAAAGGTTTTTTTTTTTTTCTAAGCATTATAAAATCCTTTCCTGTTCCTCACAGGATATCCAATGTTTTAATACTTAGGCAACACTGGCTTATAAAGTCCATGGTTGAATATAAGCCTTGAAGAGTTTTTTTTTTGTTTTGTTTTGTTCGTATATATATTTATATATATATATTTTAGTAAGTAAGGATATGAAATTCAGGATTTGTGGGTTTTATTGGTTTTAAAGGAAACTTGCAATACTCTGTCTCCTAAACGGTATCCATTAAGGCTGGCAATGGCCATGGCAGCTTCGTCGTAGTTGGTCATGGTGACAAAGCCAAATCCCTTGCACTTGTTGGTGTTGAAATCACGGATCACCTTGACATTATTGACCGCTCCAAAGGGACCAAACAACTGCCACAGCACGCTCTCATCCGAGTCGGGAGACAAGTTGTAGACGAAGATGCACCATCCAGTCCCGGTGTGACCAGGGATATTCATTCCCACAAGGCTCGTCATGCCATCAATTGTGATCGGAGAAAACCTACCGAGCAAAAAGAGGGGTCTATTCTAAATATATCTCTTGGCACGAGCTGTAGGGGTCCAAGACTTTAAAGTAAGTAAGGCAATGGTACTGAAGGGTCTGGATCCTGTCCCTGGAAGATGGGTCACAGAGACACCCTTGCTGTCTAACTCCTGCTGAAGCAGAGGGGAGCTGCACTAAATAAAATTGCCAAATCTGAGCATAAATGCATCTCCCTCCGAGGATAAGCCCTGCTTAGATGTGTACAAAGACCTAAGAAAAGAAATGCTTGAGGACAATCTGAGTCAGAGAGGGCCTGCACACGCTGTGATAAACAACAGCTCGTGTAAAAAGGGCCTGTAGAAATTTGCCACTTATTCCCAGCACTGATATAAGTTTCAGGACAACAGAGATCTAATGCTTTATCTCCTACTAGTCTGCAGTGAAAAATCCCAAGCAAACTTCAAGACCTATTTTAAAGATTAATAAGAAAAGTCTTTGTCAGGATTCAGCTGTAGCGGTAGATTCTTCAGCTAAAAATACTATTAGAGAGATGTCTCTAAGTGGTAGGTTTTATTTCTTCTCCTAACATGGTCCTTAATTGACATACACTGGGGAAAAAAATCCAGGTAATAAAAAGTCCTAAAGCCAGCCACATATCAAAGAAGTTTTATGCAGCAATTGTATAATAAGTAGAACATAAATACAATTAACGAGCATATCAGCTGGTACTTTCATACTGTGAGGCTTCATTTTCATGACAGGCTTTAGGTTCTTCAAAAAGTCAATGCAGGGATGAACTCCCAGAATTCAATAGAGCACCCTACTGTTTCTCCCTCATTGTCCTTTGGGACTTTACCTCGAATATCCGAAGAGAGAAGATAAAGCAAGGTGTTTATGAACACAGATCCATCACGGGATAAGAAAGCCTGGGCAGGATCTATGGAGATTATCTGATCAGCCTCCTGCTCCAAGTAAGGCAAACTTCTCAAATGAGATCTGCTGCTCAAGGACCCAAGAGGGAAGCTTAGGAAATCTCCAAGGACAAGAACTCCATCCTGCAGCCCCTGCTGCAGGGCTCCATCCTCACTGTGAATGAGTCTCCCTTCTCCTCAAGTGGAGCTTCCCCTGCTGCAGCCTGTGGCTGCTGACTCTTGTCCTCCTGTATTTGACCTCTGAGAAAAGCTTGGCTTCACCTTCCTTCTAAAGCCCCTTGTAGGCAGCTGAAGGCAGCAGTCAGCAGCTAAACTCTACATTCGCCTTCCTCGAATTTCAGCGTGTTCCTGCAGCTTTCCAAGGTCTCCCCAGTGGCAGCCATGGCCAGCAGCAGTGACAGCCCCTGCTCCTCACCAATTCCGTGTCACCCGCTAATGCGAGGAGGGTGCAGCACAGCCCATGACTCAGGTTATTAATGAAGATGTTAAGCAGTATCAGCCCTCAGGATCAACATAATTTTCCTTTCATCAGTGTGGAAAAAAAATTGACATGCTTTCTGAAGCTACACTTTGGGACATGTTTTAAAATAACAACTGCACAGAGGAAATGTCTTAAAAATCCAGTTTCACGTGTACCTTCAATATGACGAGTTTTAATACCAGAACAGAATAATAATTCCTCAGGATTTTCTGAGCGATGATTGAGGGAGCAGAGGGAGGGACTCTGTTGCTGAGCGAGCTCTTGTTCTCTCCAAAACTTTTTACACTTGTAATAATTTCCACACACGTTTAGCAATCTGCACAGTATTATGCAGTGTATATTAAATAACCATAAAGGAAACTACACACTTGATGGTTGCTCACTGTTCTGTTGACGCCTGACGGCACTTTTTATGTATATTCAGGGAAAAAGAAGACACTCGGAATATACATCTTAAGCTGAGGATCATCACTGGGGTATAGCTACGCTGCAAATGAGCAGTTCACAAATGCTCACAGCATCAGATCCTCAGGAAGGTTTGCAGACAGTTTATTAAAAATACGTGGCAATTTTCCAACTCAACTTCACTTTTGCAAATCCTCCTCTCGACACGTTTTAGTTTCTCTCTCGCGCAGTGAAACCAGTGACATTATCACAACAGTTCAGCACAGAAAGGCTGGACAAGGCCAATTTCTACTGCTCCTTCCACCTCAGGTAGAAATAAGGACTGGAAACAAGGCACAGCCAGGGCTTGTACAAGCCAACAGCTTCAGCTCATTTTAAAATCAGGAAGATGGGACTTTAAGCCCATTGCTGGCCAGTATGGACTGTGCCAGTAACAGACATAAGCCAGCAAACTCTGCTTTTCTGGAATGCTTAAATTTAACGTGAAACACAACACTAAGGGATACAACACACTCTGAGGAAGGATGATGTAAAACCTGTGCAATGCAAAGCTGTGCTTGTCACAATGCATTATAAGGCTTTGCATTATAAAGAAAACTGCACTGATGTAAGGGTTAAAGCTTCCTACAGTTCACTGGAGAGCAGCTTCTCCCTGGACACCCTTAGGAGCTACACAGCTTTCAACTATTTATGTGCCATGACCACAGCAGCTGCTGTAAATCCAACAAAACACACACAAAACTGGTGCAAGTGTATTGACACAAATACAAGATCACCTATCACATAAGGAGCTTTGCTACTAGCAAAGTGATCTGAAATTAGCCTCAATAAAACCCTTTTTCCACATCAGCATGTCTCATTTTCCATCAGTACCACACAGTTAGCACAGGGAGAGCCAATCTCCCATTTCTGAAGCAGCTTCAGAAATTATCAGTGCGGTATTTTCTGTGACCCTGCACCTAATAAATTCAGGTTTTGCTAGTGCAGGTACAATTGCCAAGGTTTGCTGAGAGGAGATAAGAACTAATTTAAGATGCCTGCAAAATGACTTTAAATGCTGCTGTGTTTTTAGAGTAACACTGCAGACAACGTTGAGAAAGCAGATGTATAACCTATAAAGGCAGGTAATTTCTCTTCCTCTGTTCAGGCTCAGTTCAGACTAAGTCTATCCTGCACCACATGCCAGCCCAATTCCAGGGAAGGAGCAGCAGCAGTAAAAACCCAGGGAAATCTCCCAGAACAAACCCCTCCTTCTGATATTGACTTGCACCTGGGCAGACACTCAACTGGGAGTTTTTCCATGTTTCTGACAAGGTATCAAGGAACAAATAAGGTGAGAGAACACAGGAGAAGGGGTGTGTGATAAAATCAGGGGGTTCTGACTCACCACATCCCCATCACCACTAAGGATAACCTGACACAACCAACGTGCCCACGAACACCAGCACTGGTGCTTCTGGGGAGAAGCTCTGCTTTGACTTTCCTCCTGTGAGTTCTCAGGCTTTCAGATCTGTACTGAGTTACTGAGGGGTTAAACCCCACCTTACTGTCTGAAACTAGCTAGTGTAAAGATATACTTACCATACCTTTTTAGAGGATGAGCTTCAAAAAAAGCTCAAGTAATTTTCAAGTGTGGTGAGTAGACCATTTCAGGAGATTTAGTAGTACTTTCTCATCTTAATCTGGACATCTTAAGGTAACATCAGGAATAAGACTACACCTTTGTTTTGCGGCAAGGGTCGCTTATGCTGATGTTGCCATTGAAAGAAACACTAACAACACATCATCTCATTTTAGCTACCAAACACTCATGGAACAGCAGAAATGTTGACAAATCAGCTGAGCTTTCATACATGCGTGCACATACAAACACACAGCTATTTTAAACAAACAAAAAAATAAATTTCAAGGACTGAAAAAAAATTCAAAGTATTAAACCTGTAACAAAAGAAACTTTGGGCTGATTGAGGTGCACACAGCTGTATTTTCAAGTCAAACTTGCTATGCCAGATGTGGGAGAAAGGTGGTCTTAACTGTGAGAGACAACAGCAGCTTAATTCTGATTTTTGACTTAAATTTTCCATTATCAGATCGGAGATTTGCTAAAAACTCAAGTTAACAGTTTTGATTCTGGAAAAAGCACTGCTTAGCAAAGCAACAGCAATTTCAATGCTTGTAGCTGTGGCACCTAAACCATTTGAGAAGCCCACCTGTAAATAAAAAAAGTTTGAAAAACCCCACAGAACTTGCGCGTGAGGCCTTTAAAGTAACAAAACCAACTGAAGTCCAAACTTAAAAAGAATTTGACATGCTGGTGGAAGAAAAGAAGGGATAAAAAAAATAAAGTTAGTGAATTAAAAAAAAATAAATTGTAGCACCAATCTGTGCCAACACGGACATCTGGCAATCTGTGGAATTCTAATTACCTCTTTACGCCATAGGCCATATTAAGCAAATTGTCCAGCCTGAAAAGAGAAGGAGGGTCTTTGGGTTAATGTCTCACAGATGGCAAGATCGCTCAATGGAACTATTATTAATAGTGTTCCATTTTCAAAGAAGAAACGTTCAACAAGTTTCCCACACATCTAAGGAGCCTAACAACTCCCAGCCTGCTTTGTTAAGTCTGAGGTTGTGCTTAAATTTTCGCCAGAGCATTTAAAAGCCTTTTTATAACTTGTCTATAGTCTTAGAGAAAAGATTAACCACCAGAGCTTGGCTTTAAAAATCCGTTTAGGATTTGTCTTTTTTTTTTTTATAATTCAACTTTTTTTGGAAATTCAACTGTCACCTTATATTTACAGTTAATTTGGAAATAAAATGTCTGCTGGAACTGGAAAAACTCTTGATAATCTGCTCTAATATAATACATTCTCCCTATTTTATTATCTATATTTAGTATTAATCCTTCATGACATGTCAATCTAAATTGACCACCAAATTTTGCAGAATGTAATCATCTGCTTTCCATGGCAGCACAATAAAGTCCTTCTGTCCATTGAATGATTCAGTGATAACCTCAATGGACACAGCTGTGTGCCAAAGACACAAAAACAAGTATAAATTTAATGTATCCAATGACTGACTTTTTATGGTCTTTAATTCATTAGCACTTTTCTTTAGTGACAAACTAAAATTACTTCTGAATAATTCTCTAAAACCACTGTGCAACTCAGTTATGCAAATATGTCCAAGTTTTCTTTCTTGCAGGCAGACTTTATTTGAAAGCTGGGTTTGCCTGAGAACTATTAAGTATAAAAGTAATAGGAACATCACATATTGCTAACTCTGCCTTATGCATCAGATGGAAAAAAGTATATTCAGAATGCAAAGCATAAAACATCCCCAAAAGCATCTGAAGACTCACACCAAAGACTAATACAAGGGCTCTTTATACTAAGAGCAGATATCTCAGGCTAATAAATTTAATGATACTCCTGCTGACTGGGACAGACTCAGCTTTTTTCCTGCTACCAATCCACTGTCATTAACATCAAAGTCTAAGCTGCATCAAAACTGTAGTAATATAGCAGAAAATAAAAGCATTACCCAAAAAGAGAGAAAGAACAGGACAGTCACTGCTCATTTGATTACCAGTGTAACTCTATTCTGTCCTCCCTTTTTCTATGAGCCTTCATGAGATCTGATTGTACAGTACTTCAGCTGTTTTAGTAAATACAACATGACTACTGCTGTCAGCAGATTTTCCTCCTCATTCTCCAGGAAAGAATATTTAATTTTACAAAGAAAATCAGGTCAGCCTACGCAACTAAAGCATATTTTCCAGCACAGCACCTGCCCCACACCGTCATTGCTGGTGGAACTTCAGTTCTTTTCCAGGTAATTACCTGAATCTCTGAGCCTGGTGGTGAAGTGGTCCAGGGTAGCGTCTGTTGGGAGACTGATACAGCTGTGAAAGGAGTGCCTGGCTTGTTTTCTGGCTGGGGTTATTGGCAAACTTCACAGTAATTGGTTCTGTAGCACCGCTAGGCTTCTGGCCATTTAGTCCCTTTATGGCTTCTTCTGCCTCTATTCTCTTATCAAAACGGATAAATCCCACACCTCGAGAAACCCCTGGGAAGTAAAAACGTGAAGAGATGAATATTTGTAGGAACAGCCTCATCTGTGTAATGAGCATAAACTGAACGTTGAGTTCGACTTTGCACAATAGGTGGTTTGCAAATTAAGAAAATTCCTGTAAAGAAAAATCCTCTTCCCAATCTGTAATCTCCAAAATCAGGCCCCGACTGTATTTAATAATGATTTTAAGTAAACAATATCCTGCATTTTGATAGCCCCTCATTAAAGAGGCAGCAGTTGTACCTCTAGTTACATTTATAAGAAAACAGGTACTGCATTTTACACTGAAAGCCAAAAAAACCCAGCTGCAGACATTTGGAATTTTGCCATTTCCAGAAAAAAAAACCCCATGCATTGTATCAAGAAAAGTTCTTTTTTAACCTGTGACTTGATCAACCAGAATCCGTGAGGTGATGATGCGCCCATATTGTGAGAATAACTGCTCTAATTCTTTCTGGGTCATGGTTTTGGGAAGGCCGCTGACATACAAGTTGGCATCCCGGATGGATGCTGAACTTGGACGGGCATATGACACCTACAGAGAGAAAAGGAGAGGAGAGTTAGTGAGCTCCAGCCACCCTCGGTATTTTGGACAGACAATTCTGTTCTTTCACTGGACATAACCCTGCAGTTCAGACAGGACCTGTTCTGGGAAACCAGCAGAGCCAGGAAAGGCTGGAGGCACAAAGGAAGAACTACAGAGACCTTAAAAGAGACAAGGGTTCTTGAAGTGCAGTGATAAAATATTGTTCAGAGGTGGATTAATGTGCAACTTCCCACGCATGGCTTTGTAAATTTGCCCCCACTGGTGTGGGTGTGTGGATGATTTGCCGTAGCCAACCTCGCACGCTGAAGTTCCTGCATGTTTTTCATTTCCCCCTCCAAGTGTCTGAAACAGATCAGGTTATTTGGGGAGTGATCTTTTGTGCTCTCTTTGTGTTTGCATCCTGAGCTGGCAAGATCTGTTCTGTATGAACAGGAAAGTACTGGTGAAATTAGACTAAATGAACATCTGCTCAGGGAGCTGTAGACTGACACTCATTGTCAGATCTGCAATTTATCATGAGAAGTTCCCTTGCATTATAAAGCCCAGAACCAGACCATAAAATATTATGACCAAGCAAACAAGAAAATTTAGCTGTGGCACTGCATGTGTGCTGTTGGAAAATTACTGATTCAAGCCTCTTAACTGCTCCTCTACCTATGAATCAGATTTATAATTATAATAGGTGCATAAAAAGCCTTCTGCACTTTTGAAATAATATATACATTTAGAATCAACACATTTAACATCATAAAAACACTTCTAGGATAAAGCCTAATGGCAAATATTCAGCACAGATCATGAATTACTTTGCAGCACATCTGAAAAAGCATTGGAACCCAAGCTGAATATTCTGCACTTCATTTTGATTTATTTCAATATAAACAGATCAGTACTCTCCTGCATTGTGTCTTAAAATGTGTCTAGGAAAGAAGTGGGGAGGGTTCCCATCACAAAGACAATACATTCAGCAATTGTCTTCCCCTCTTCCCGAGCCTCAGCCTGAACACAGATGATGTCAAATGGATGTCTATGTGTTTTATGTGTCAAAGAGTTGTCTTTATGCGCTACACACCTAAAAATAGATGTTGACTCAACACAGAAAATTATGTTAATGACTAATATTTGCTTCCACAATCTTCTCTGCATAATAGCAGACAAACTCTAAAGATTCTAGATTTTAAGGGTTTTGGCAATTTTCTTTTTAACTTACATGTTTGTCCATAACCTTTTAAATCTAACATTTACAGAGAAGGCTGGAGAGAGGAGGTGGAAAATCCAAGTAAAGAAATATGAAATAGATAAAACATTTGCATCAATGGAGGCAAGATCAGGCACACACAGCACAAAGGCTCAAGAAGACACGAGGAGCAGAGAAACCTTCAGGTGCTGAAAGGAAGAAGGATACTGGGGTAGAAATTGTTTTGTGCCACAGCCCATGAGCCCCTGATGGGGTGCAGCATTTTCATCACTTCTCTGCTGGTCCTGAACACCTCTGATGGATCCAGGACCAGAACACACATGGATGGCACCACTTGGGTTTTATATAATAAAGCTCCATCCAGGCTCTAGGGGACACCAGAGATAATCACATGGTGCTTTCACTTACAGCTTGGTTTGGTGCTGGAGCATCTGAAAAAGCAGGTTCTCCCTCCTCACTCTGCAAACGCCTCACCTTGAGAGGGTACTGTAGGATTTCAGGTACCTACAGTTTAACCTACTTTAGGAATTACAGTTTAAAAAAACATTTAAGAGCCTCTCTGGAGCGAGGGTAGGGATCTTACCTATTCCTCAAAACTGAGAACAGCAAAATGAATAAAGTTCCTGGGCAAACAGCCAGGGGTTTCCTTTGGGTTTCTCACTCTGGCACATTCATTAACCAAATGCCATGTTGCAGGGAGGATGAAAAGTATTGGGATATGCAAAAAACATCACTTCCCAGAGCAGTGTGCCTGACATTTTATACATATATACACTTCTGCTTAGAGAAGGCTCTCTGCTCTCATGGGCCTTGCAGGCAGGCAGAGGAAGGAGAGGCTGCTCACACTCCCAACCCTCCACTCACAGCACATGTGAACACCTATGGCTGCTCAGGTCTAGTTTTTATTTCCTCCCACAATCAAACATTCAGGCTGCAGGGGAGCCTGAGCCAAAGAAAGAAGCTGCCAAAAGCAACTCAGCCGTCTTTAATATCAAGGAGAAAAGGTTGCGGAGCTGAATGGACTCAAGGCTAGTAATGTCAATTATTTATCTGCTTTTGAATCTTTTTCATCTTCCCTCTGAGGTCAGCCAATGACAAATCGATCGGTTAGAGTGTGCCATCCTGCTTTCAAGCTATTATTCAGTTAGTGCTGAGGACGGGATGTTTTCCCGTGTGTGAGCTATCAAAGGAAGAAATCGCCCACCCTGACCCTCCATCACACCAGAAGCTCCTTATGCTGTGCGAGTTAAAATGGGAGCAAAAACCAGCTCCCATTTTATCACTGCAAACCGCAAAGTGCTGGGTGAGGACGTTGCATTAATTCTTTATATTCACACTTAAAAATGATTTCTTTCTCCCCTTCCTTTGCTCACGGCAGTGTTAGCACCCTGTAATGAAACAGAGCGTTGAAAAAGAAAAGAGTATGGAATCCTAGCCACCACAAAGAATTCAAATAATGAGCTGGAGAACACCAAACTGCTGTTTGACCCAGGCATTTCTCAGCATTAAAATGTTTGTCTGCTCGTACAACGGTTGAAGGTCGAACCATGGTGTTGGATTTCACTGCATAAGATCATTTAGGCATTCTGCGGTCAAATTTGCAAGGAAGATAATAAAATATTATACAATTCATTTAATAGCTTGCTGGCCTCAGATGTTAGTTTCTATAAATACATATATAATAACCATGAAAAACATTTAATAGGACATTTCTCATCTGACATTGAGCATTAGCCTGTGTAAGGGCTTCTCTTCATAATAAACAGCCATCTCCAGAGGCTGCACCACTGTCTCCCACCACCACTGCAGCATCACAAGGTCCCGCATTTCATATCTTCCACAGCAAAGCACATTTTTGTTCAGGTGCGCAGAAAATATCTCCAACTTCAAGTAATTATCTTCCCTATTGATTTCCTACCTGTTTTCCCATATAGAAAACTTTCTGAAGAATTACTAACCTCAAGACTCTTCAGAACATAAATTGAAGCGGTCTGGCCTTTCCAAGCCAGAGCCCACAGCAAAGGCACCCAGAGGCATGAACGCATCCCATTTGTCTTATGGAACAAGCAGCAGCAGCCATTTGAACACTGACACTTAACCACTTTGCTGCTGCTCCCTGTAAGAGAGCCTGCAGCTCCTGTGCTAATTCTGGACTTCTCAAACATCAAAGATCATTTCCAGAAGCCTCCTTGTAAAATTTAACTCTGGTCTCCTGTGAAGAGGAACTGCATCATCGTCTCCTGGAATGATGTGCTCTGCCAGCACAGCCACCCTACCCTGGACACATCTAAGCAGCAACCAAGCAGCTCATTTTGCAGATACCAACCTTCCCGGAGATGTGTCTTGCTCTGCATCTACCATTCCTCACCTGGAAAATGGGAAACCACGCAGGAGCCTTGAATCAGAGTGTAGCACAGGCATCCAAGGACCACCAAGCCACCCACCCAGGGCAGCTGCAGTCCCTGGGACACCTCTCCAGCCACAAGCAGCTAAGGTGCAGTCAGTGTTCAGTGACTCCCTGGGCAGCTTTCAAAAAGTTTGCATAACAAGCAAAAATACCAGACTTCTTGGTGACCTTGATACAGAGACTTTGCTTTCTCCTTTTGTGACACTCTCCAAGATACAGGATTTCTTGTATCATTTGTGGGGTGAGTCACTTGGCTTTTTTTCTGCCTGAAGTCCAGTTTAAAATGGGGACAACCCTTCCCTCACTTGCTGCCCTTATCTCACTGATACAGACTGGAAGAGCTTTCACACAAATGCTCAAAAGCCTCACATGTAAATAAAGCACAGTCTCACTTGTTTAATGCACACCCAGAACTAGAAAGTAAAATCTGCTTAACACCAGTGAATGGGCTGTGGCAGAAAGAGACATTTCCCCACAGCCCCTTCCAGACCCTCAACTGTGCCCTAATTTTGTGCAAAACCAGATTTTAGGTACCCTCCTGCGAAAGCCGTGTGCTTTGTCAGAACAAGCAGACACAAAAGCCCTCTGGTCCAGAGGCAGAAGACCAGGATCTAGAATACTTTCACATCTGATGCTTGCACTGCTTTGTCCTTTCTCCTCCCTAAGCCCTTGGCTGGAGGATGGTGGGGAGTGACAATGCACTTTACTATTGAGCGATTCAATGCCATTTTACAGAGATTAATTATAATTGCAGGTACAATGGTCTATCCCATCATTTCAGGAAAGACATCCATAGATAATAACCTAGAAACGCTCTTGGCTGTATCAAGAGCAAGTCTAAGAAATAATTGCTCTGGCTCTGTGGAATGAAACGGAATCACTGGCAAAACTGAGGCAGTAAAGAGAGAAATGGCGATTAAGAAAAGATGCATGAAATGAAGAGGCAGAGACTCTCTGGTGCCTGCTGAAAGCAGCAGAACCAAAGCTGAACCTTCAAATGCTGCACTGAAAGGTCCTCAGAGCACCAGTACCATTGCAGGAGCAAAGGGCGGAGTGGAGGAGGGTTTGTTAACAAGCACTACCAAATCCAAAGGGTTACACTAACAGAGTCATAAAGACCAAAACAGGAAAAAACTTAGTTGAGGTTTTCAAGGTCTGAGGCATCTTTAGTTTCCTGTCCAAGACTTTATCTTGGGGAGCAGCAGTCACAGCAGACAACCCCTCTGACTAACTGTGAGCTACCATAAAAGAGAACAAGTGGTTACCTCAATTTTACAAGGAGCTATAAAATAGCTACATCCCAAATCTGCAATTTGTGCCTGTAATGTGAATTTTCACGAAAGGGTAAAAAGGGGGTCCAGTGCAATTGCACGCAAGACAGTAAAAAATACAAATCCCTCCTTGCTGCAGTCCAACATACTCAGCCACTCCCAGCACCTTCCAATGCCCCAACCTTCCACCTCTTCTTCCTTGCAGAGCATCCAAGCTCCTCCTGTGCCTCGCCCTGATCTCTCTGTACAGCCTTTCCTTACCACCCAAGCCTTGCACAACATCCCATTTCCTCAGTGGGATAGGAGGCTGCAGGCAGTGCCCAGCAGGCTCGGTGGCCCTGAGGAGGCTATGGAAGAACAGGGCTGGAAAACACCAGGTTTTGGTTGAGCACTGCACCAAGGGCTCTGCTACCATCAGTGCCAGCAACCTGGCGCTTGCTGGCACAACCCAAGTTGTGCTGAGCTCACCCACACCTCCCAAGGAGCCTAGGGTGGGGTGCAGGAGATGCAGGTCTGTTCCCCAGCACTCCCTGCTGCAATTCCTCCTCCTTGCATCCTGTTCCGCCTCCTCTGCCGAGCACGGCTCGAAGGCAATCTTTTTGACAAATGACTTTGTAGGACACAGAAATCTGAGGCTGCTGTTATTTGGTTACCCTACAGTGACAGGATGCTTTGTAGTTTTGTGGACAATTACAAGAATTAACATGGACAGATTTAGAGCCTGAGTTTTGTGGAAATAGCTGGCATTTTGAAAAATGCCACAGAAACCAAGATAAATAGGAAGCTCTTTCAGCAGTAATGTTACTACTTTATTTTCAGAAAAAGCAGATTACTTTCTCCCACAGCCTTATTTGCTGTATTTTAAACTAGGACCATCCAGACCTATTGATCAAAACAGGAAAGTAAAGCAAAAATACATAATTCCATGCTATTTATTAAATTTAAGTAAAAATTAAGATAACTAGAAAAAGCCTCTGAGCATGGTATTTTATCATTGGATAGATATGATGGATTTAAAAACTGGAGGTTACCAAGGCCTCAGAGAACCCAGATTCATTCTCCCCTCTCTGGGGACATCTCCCTTTGCTCCAGCAGTGTCACAGCGTGTACCTGCTCCTGGGAGGGAAGGAAGAAGCAAACCCATTTTCTCAGGCAACAGAGAAAAAGGAAGAGAGGAGTGCACAAGACTGCACTTCAGGGGGTCACTGGCTCTTTTTAGATTTCAAACTTCCTTTCAAAACTGTTCTGCCCTTGTTCCAATGAAGCCAGGTCACCTGAATCCCCAAGTAAATTGTAAAACGCTTCCTTCGCATCCTTTCAGGTGCTGTCCTTTTTTTCAGGGCAAAGCAGCAGTTTAAACAATCTGTACCCCATGCATCACACATCTTATTTTTCTTCTGATATTTGATGCAACTGAATTGCCAGGCAATCTTCAACAGCAGCAGTGACCTTTCATATGCTTTTATGGATGGGCAAATTTAATTTCTAAAAATAGATTCAATTTCTGGAATATATATTTATTTCAACACACACTGTCTCTTCCCTCACTCTAAACTGTTTTGCAGAATTATGTCAAGCTTTAGCTGTAAAAATAAAGTGAAGCTTTTCTCTCTCACAAGAAGATGCTGCTGCTATGAAATGGCGTAAATAAAATATGCACTATGATCAGTTGAGGAGGAACAAAATGTCTATAACCTATTACCACCAAACACAACACTGCCTCCAATGCTTTTCCCAAACAGATCTTCTGTAAATCGTCACCTCTCAACTTTGACTTGAAAGGGCATCATTGACTTAAATAAAATGCACATAAATATTTTAGCTGCTAGAGTGAAAAGGGATTATTTATCATAACAATGCAAGAATAAAAAGAACACTTCTTCAGTTATTTTAGTCCACACATCAGAGCCGACTGTGCCTGGCTGTTCTGCTGATCCTGCTATTAAGCCAGTTCCTCCTGTGACTGCATGGCTGTTTTGCAAGGCATCAGGAGAGAGAACATTAAGCTGCCACAAAAATATTACACAAGTGAAAAGGACAGCATTTGGGGCCACATGCATAAAATACATATATTACTTTTAAACAGGAATTAAGCCTTGTGAGGTCAAAAAAGGAGTGCAAATACAACTCCCCAGAGCCACCTCATGCTCAGTCTAGGTGCAGGGAACAGCAGAGCCCAGGACACAGATGGGACCCAGCCAGCAGGACCACAGTGACCTTGGCAAGCAGAAGCAATTTGCCACTGTAAAAGGGCTTTCACAGATTACTCATTTCAACTTTCTTTCCATCAAAACACCTTCCAAAAGGTTCAGCCAGAGAAATTCTACCTGCAGGACTGCAGCTACCCAACACGCATGGACAGGGGCCAAGGTTCTGCCCATCCATCAGTAAGATAATAAGATATTTACAGATTGATGCTGGGGCAAAAAGCCCAGCCACTTTCATGAAGAAAGCGGAACAAAGTGATGTTCAGAATTGTCTGGCTCCATGTTATTCTACTAAATATTTTTTAGCCTACAAAACTATATGCCACTGAGCTTCTCTCTACATGTTCTCTTGAGAGAGGTTTTTTTAACACACCAACAGCACATTTTTAGTAACTGTAAAGGGCATCTGTAGCTAAAGTAATTGGGTCTGATAATTAAATATAGTATTTCCACAAGTTTAAATACTTCAGCCTTACAAAGAATGACAGTGAGATGCACTTGGGGGCAACAGGCAAGTGAGGAGGTTCAGCAGGGCTGAGTACTGCTCCTCATCACCTTGAAACCCTTTGGAAACCAGAGAGCAGCACTAAATACACCTGATTTACTCCTCCGTGTGAACACTGGGAAACCTCCATCCCCACTGCACAGTATTAGGGAAAGCAGATCTAATTTATCAGGATTTCCAGAAGCAATGCATAATTAAAAATACAAGAAAAAACAAGGGAGTAAAGGTGAGGTAATTGCATGCGATTCTGTAATGAAAAATTGGGTTGGAAATTGCTGATTAGATGTTCCTGTGGCCTAAATTTTGGCTGTTGGGATAGAAGGCTTCCTTGGGTTGGTTTTAGGCAATTGCATAAACTCTATTTAAAAAAACCCCCAAACCCTATCCTTCCTCCCCATCATAGAAGAACTTATGCAGATCCTGTGCATGTAGATTAGATCAATCTCTTTGCTTATTATTAAATTTCAACAGCTTCTGAGAGCCCCCTCCAAAATTTCCTTTATTCTACGCCAGTCTGCGAGCTATTAATGAACATGAAAACCCCAAAACAAATAAATCACCGAATTTCTAAAATTTACACTGAATTAAAAAAGCCATACCACGAATAAGATTTTGCACAGGAAGTTCCCAGATAAAAGTCTTACTATAGGTGATAAAGAAAGGCATAATGGTTTAATTTTGCATGTGAGACACGTATAATAGTAATTGGTGTGGGTTGCAGTTTCTGAAGGCCTTTTACAGCATAAGTTTCCAGTAACCTTGAAATATTGTGAATGCAGTACCATTGCTCTGGTTCACAACAAAGGAAAACAGAGGCAAAGCAAAAGAGGTACTTAGGGACAAGAAATGCAGTTCTTTCCTAAGGCTGAAAAGTGTTCAAAATATACATGTACCGCATGAAAAACTGATCTAGATTTTTCAAGTTCTGACTTTTTTAATAAGTATGTTCAAAATATTTTTTCCCCAATAATGTACCTTTAAAAGCAATTTGGAGAGCAACTTTTCACTGTAAGTGGAAACTGCTGAGTCCAAGCCTGCATTTCCACCTGCAGCAGTTGATAAGATGGGAGATTTTGCTGCCTTGCCTTACATATTCCTGTAAGTGTTTCTATTAACTCCACAAAACCATGCTGTGAGCATTTTGATGTATGGCCCACATGCCTATCTGTGGGATGGAATCTGGATGGTCTGAGGGAGGTTTGGAAGCAGCTTTTTCGATGAAATCCCTGCAGCTGCTCCACCACTTTCATAACCCTCAGCTCAGCGCTTCTGCTCTTCACTGATCAAACAGATCAGAGGAAAAACTTGCTCGAAACAATCCTTACAAATAACACCAGAATCCAATAAATATTTTTGCTTCAGGGAATACCACTTTGTCCAAACCACAATCTTTAGCCAGAATGCCAAAACCTACAGTATTGACCACATGACACTATCCTTCTTGCAAGATACACCACTGACATTATTCCTACCAATATTCAGCACAATGAAGATTCTATTTTTAAATTAACGTTTTTAGCTTTGAAATACAAATTAACTACAGAAAAAAAAAATTAAGAAAATGGTGCAAATAAAAAACCAGCATTCAAAAAAATGATCAAAGCAGTTTCAGATAATTTGAATCTGATCTGCTGTTTGTTCCCCTTCAATTTTTCGATTCACATCCCTTAAAGTTGTATTATTTGTCAGAATTTGGGATGTGGAAATCTTCTGTAAGCTGTTTCAGAACAGCTTTATCAGCCATCCAGCAGAAACTGTGACAGTGTAGAATCTTGCTTTTCTTGTGAGACCACTAAAGAAGGTCATTGAATAACTAATGGTCTATTACAAACAATGAAATACGAGACTTTAGTGGGAAGCCTCCAGCTTTTAAAAAAAAAAAAAAAAGTCAAATTAAGGATGTGGAAATTGAGGAAAATATTTTCAGAATGACATATTTTAACTTGTGAAAAATATGTTTTCAACACCTAATAATGACAGGAGTGTCATTAAAAGAGAACCCTGTGACAAAGTATTTCCCATTAAAACATAAGGAAACATGTAACTTGTGAATACATCACCATGCACTTCACCTGTTTATGGATAATGGTATCTCTGGCTGTTTTATTCTACATTTAAGCCTCACTGTCATGCTTTAAAGAGCTTCCTGTTACTTTCCCCTCTCTTTAACAATAGCAGCAATTTCGGAGAAGAGAGATTTCATCTTCTGCATGTCCGCTCATTGTTCCAAGGAGGAGCTCGTTAACCCCCTTACAATGGAGAATAAAATAGTGATGAAATTGCCAGAAACAGTTCCAACTACTTTCTCCCCTTCCTGAATTGAGAAAATGGCATTTTATATTGTCTTACCTTTATGGTTTTGGTCTGGAGTCTGAGTCCATTTAAAGTGTTAATGGCTTTCTCTGCATCCTTTGGATCAATGTAGTTAACGAATCCATACCCTAAACTCTGCCCTGTTGAAACACAAGAAATAAAGAAAAAAAGGACTCAGTATTTTTCAGCACAGGAACAGCTTCCAAGAGTGGAAGCACAATTTTCTTACACAGCTCATTTCATCCCTTATTTCCCTTACAGTCTTCTATGCTGTTTTTCACCACTCCTTTATCTCCTTAATACAGGGGGAGCCATCATAACTTTAAATTGCTGCTCTGAAGATCCTTCTGTAAGAACGAGAAGCAGCAACCCCTCACCCTGCCTTCCCCAGGAGTTTACTGAAAAGTGTGGATGAGGCTTGACAGCAACAGAATTGTGTAATAGTTTTGTGCTGAGCTCCTAATAAATATAACTGGCTGACCTGCCAGTAACGAGGTCACCTCTTAAAATTAAATAAACACACATACACAATTTTGCTGCTGTTTATAAACAAGTCTTGAAGTATTTAAATCCCATTTTTACACTAACCTTGAAGGAGCTGAGGAACAGAAAGCCACCTTTACATCTTGTTTTACTGCTCAGTGAGCAGCCAGTAAATAGGAGAAGGGACAGTCCAAATTGCAGCTGGGCAAGGGACTGCGTTAAAGCTCCCCTCGGAGTATTTGAGATGACAGCAAACCCAAACAGTGCAACAACTGCTGCTGTGCATGGGATGGCAGGAGCCCACTTCAGCAGCCAAAAGCGTTTCAACAGCTTCTGCTTGCCCAGCGAGACCCGAGCGTGTGTCTGCAGCAGAAACAGAGCCGGGTAATAACCGGGAGCAGTGACACGGGGCTGGAGAGGATCATGGACACACACAGGGCTGGGAAAATCCACTCCACAGGGATCTTTTCCCAATTCCCGAGCAGCAGCTTTTGCAGCACCAATTCTATTAATACAACATGACAGACAACCGCTTCCAGACCCCTTCCTTCCAGCATCCTACTGAACTTATTTTGCATGTTTGGAAAACACAGCGCTTTTTTTTTTTTTTTTTGTTAAGGCACGTGAACTTAGAAACACACACTGGTAATCACATTTCAAGAATCAGTCAGCCCAAGTAGGCAGGTGAAGCATCCTGCATTCCAACCACGCTCCCTCTCATACACCCTTCTGTGTATCAGGAGCACAGCAAGCCAAAAATCCACCTGTCTCTCAGCGCTGATGTGCAGGGGATCAAAATGCTCCTGCTCACAGGCAGTGAGAAAGGAACCATGTGAAAATCCCTCCCGAGGAAAGGAGCAGCATTTGTGGAGATTTCTAGCCACGGCAGCAGCAAGCAGCGACCCAGCTCCTGCTCACCAGGAGGAAGGGGAGGTTGGGAAGGCAGCTGCACACCAAGTGCCTTGATGTCCCCTGGAGGCACAGATCCTGCCTCCCAGCACAAAGCTTTGTTTCTTTGTCTCCTGGACTACAAAAAAGCATCTGTGTGTTTCTCAAAGTCAGACGCCACCAAAAATACAGCGTTTGCTGTAACACAAATACAGGGAGTGCTTCTGTCTTACGAAATCAGATCAAAGCCCTAAAAGCTGCTAACTATGCAATGGAAGACTTTAAAAATCCATGGAAACACTGCAGTTCATGCTTGAAATGCCCACATGCAGGCGTAAGGAGAAGAAATGGCTGTTTTAACATACAATACAGCCAGGGAGCAATTCCATCCCATCAATTTAACTTCAGAAAAAAAGTATAAAAACATACTCGGTCTTCCCAGAGAGTTGAACTAATCTCAACAAAAATATTCTTACCCAAGTTACATGACATTAACCAAGAATGACCTGAAGTCTGGCTGAGCACAAAGCCTGGAGCAGAAATACTGTAAAGATACTTTCCCTGCCATGCCTACCTGATGTATTTTGTACAGCCCCAATCCCTATGCCTCTGAACATATCAAATCTTTGATACATTTAATCCTGAACAATTCTAGGGAGAGGAAAAGTATTCCCTAGGAAACAAACATCTTTCTATGGGATTTTTATGAGATTGGAATTTATGTCCAATGTCTGATCCTGGGCTTCCATGTCCAGCCACTGTTATTCTCAAGGCAGATGGACTGACCAGCCTCTATAATGTATACACTTTTTCAACAGTCTCCCATAGAAACATTCTCACTTCTGTAAATACTTGCACAAGAGAGACCATGGACAGCAAACCCACAGACGGCACTAGCAATAGGAAAGGGAAATAAATGGCAATACAAGGAAAGAATGAGATCACAATTACACAGAACCTTTTTTTTTTTTTTTGAGTCCCCCAGGAAGATTCAAGTTTAGATACTATCATCTCTCATTCTCACTACCAAGTGGCAACGGGTAAATATATTTTCTCCAAAGTGAAGGATAACAGATCCAAAAATGAATAAAGCTGGTCTTGTCTGCATGCAGGCTTAATGAAAACTATTACACTGCCACACCATTTTTCTTTCAAATAACAGGTCTGCAGAAACACGATTTCTTCTTGTTAGTGTATATACTCCTCAACATCGAGAAATGTATGAAATTTGTAACACGACTGCAGGCCTGCTACTCAGAAGCATTTGGTTATGAATTCATACCCCACTGATTGCCATATTAGCTGTACTGTACTCTCACAAAAAAGGGTGAATGCTCAGAATTTTGAGCACTGAATTTCTGTTAATTCAATGAATACCCCTTTTATCTTAAAAACTCTCAAACACCACACCCTCCACAGCCCATTGAAATCTTGGTGCAGTTGTTTCCATCAGCAAATTCCTTCTGCTGCTTCCTGGCACAGACCTCACTGTACCAGTGAAGCTGAAGAGAGAAAACCTTCCCATTAAGAGGCTTCCACTTCAGGGATGTATTTTGTTTGGTTACTTTGTATTTTCAACCATCTCTCCTAAATATTATCACGTGTTTGAAGATTGACACAAACATCCCAGTCTCAAAAATTGAAAAGAAAAACTCAGATTAATTTTTTTTGCCTGTGAAAAGCTGTATGATAACCGTAGCAAACATCATAGTCTTACTGTGCTAAGCATTTACAGTTAAGAAGCCAAAAAAAAAATTTATACATGCAGCTAAAAACACGAGTTTCAAATTCCTCTTCAGAGCAATGTACCTTATGCCAGGCAAAACAGACTCTAGAGATGAAAGAACTAAAAACAGCTACAGGTGAAGAAAGGAAAGGATTTGTTCCAGAATACAGTAAACAGTATGAACTTCTCTATTTTCCTCATCATGTGCTCTTACTGCATGTACTCCAAAAGGGTAACACTTCTTTGGACACAATCTGGCAGCACAAAGCAAGCAGCTGGACCTCTCAGTGGGATCCCACACAGACACTGTAGTTCATTCCCATGCTACACTTCCCAGGAACAGCACCGTAAATAGTAAATATTTTCTGTGATTTGGAATCCAATAGTTCATCACATGCTGTGATTCAGTAGGTCAGGCAAGAGATATTTCTAGATGATCCTAAAACAACACCTTGTTATCTTGCTATTCCCACTGCTCCTTCCGAATGTTTTCTCTAGCAGTAGAAAATGTATAGTGGACCTCCCAGAATCTGGTAAGGAACAGGTCTAAAAACAAGCAGTAACAGGGTTAGAAGCTATCAAGGACTTGACAGTCTTAAAAAAAACCAACAAAACAAAACCAAAAAACAACAGGCAAAGCCAAGCCCAAGCTAGTAATGTACATGTTTTGCATTTGAGAAAGTTCCATTTCAGAGCTGGAAATTAAGCTTACAACAAGCCATGAGAAAGAACATTAAAAAAACCCCAACAAATCAATTTACCCAGTATCCTTTATTCCTACATCCAAAAACCTGCAACTGTGAAAAAGCCAGTTTCAAAGACCTGTACCTTCCTTTACTTCCTCTGTAAGTCAGTATGCTTTAGCCAATTCCATATTTATATTAAGAGGTAAAAGGAAAACAAATAGAAAAAAAACCCTGTAAGTTAGAACAGAAATGTCATAGAAAACAGAAAAAAAAAAATAAAAGAGGCATAAAACCCCTCTGGCTAGTAAAGGTTGGAATAACAAAATAATTATTTTTTTAGGTTACAGAAAAAAGATCCCTTAACACTCATCCTGACTCACCAGGAGATACTAATAGTAACAGCAGAGACAACAGGAATTATGTACACCTGAAGAAGTATATGAAGCTATAACTAGCAACCCAGGTGAATGCTAAACAGGAGCTCCTAAAATTATACATGTTTAAATGTAATGATCTAGATTACTTGCAGAGAATAGACTCCAAAAAAAAGGGCTAATAGCTCTCTTTTGTGATCAACAAATTCCAGGAGCCTGGAAGAAAAATGTTTATATTATAGGTCCAGCAGTCTAATGCCAAGCAAGGCAAAATTACACAATATTCAATACTGGACTTTAATAATAAAGAATTAGTGAGGGGTAATAAAATCAATGTCAATCAAATTAAGTTTATGGAAAATAGATTCTGTCAAACTAAACTGACAACCTTCTTGATGAGATTACAAGTTTGACCTATAAATTTTAAGAATGCCATTAAATCAACATTGATATACTTGGTCTTCTCTAAAGGACTTGATTTGGTACTGCTTATTAATTGACTAAAACAAAATTAACATGGCACACATTAAATGGATTAAAGAAGCCAGCAGATCTCTTACTGGGAATTGTGAACAGGAAATCACGAGAAAGATGCTTTCCTACAGGTCTCTCTCAGGAAACAGATCTTGGCCCTAAATTGTTTATTTCCACCAGTAAGTGGAAAAAACCCAAACTCCTTGCTTGAGAAAATTGACTACAGAAAGACAGGAGAAGTACAAAGAGGACAGAGGGAAGGTACAAATCAATTTAAGTTCCTCAGTAAACCACAAATACACACATTTACACAGCACAAAGATTACATCCTGACAAACCAAGTTAACTGTGGCATGCTTTAGGAATGCTGAAATGAAAGACTGACACAGGCTACATCAAAAGCCTGCAACACTGATACAAGAGTTAAAACTATTCCTGCCATAAAAGCCACGCAGTCAGAAAGTGAAAGGAAAATTGCTGCTTCTGATCTGCCCGTGCTTTGCTGAGGA